TAAGCTGCCTCTAGGATCGGGGAGTCCGCCTGGCTCTGAGGTGGAGGAACCAGGGATGGGAGCCAACTTGGGGAGTTGCCTGGCTGCTGGGACAGGGCCTCCCAGGATGGGCTGGTGGGGGAGTCTTTGTCCTGGGCCTGAGTTGTCCTTTCCCTCTCTTCAAAGGAGAGGCCAGGCCTTGCCAGGCATTGACAGCTTGGCTTAGGGCCTGATTGAACTCACTGGCCAGGCTGGTCTGGAAGCTTCTCATGTAGGGACTAGCTCTCAAGAGCCATATACAAAGTTGATTTTGTACCCCCTCTTACCTACTTTCGCCCCCTCCCACACCCCTTCTCCTTGTTACTCTGGGGACCCCAGGGCATGTCACCCACTTAATCAACACTCTCCCCTTTCCCACATGGGTCCTGGCTTCCAGGAGCCCCCGAGATGATGGGATTCGGGGAGTGGAACATCACTGGAACAGAAGCTTGGAGGCTCCTTCAACAGTTACGCACTGTCTGTGATGAGCCTACTAAGTGCCAGATGCTGGGGTAGGTGTCAGAGGAGGAAGTGAGGATGCCAGGGGGTGGCACTTTGCTCCTGGGGTGTCAGGGAAGGAACGCAAGTGCGAACAGCTTCAGCTACTGAGGAGAAACAATTCAGGCACTAAAGAATGAGGATTTCCTTGTGTTGGACTTGGGGTGGGGGGTGGGGGACAGGGGGTGTCAGCTGGCTTTCAGGGAAGAGAGGAGAGTGGCCTTTCCTGGTGGAAGTTTTTGATGTCACACTATGTGAGGACCCCCCGGAGAAAGCTCCTTCCTCGAATTACTGAATTTGTGCTTAAGAGACCATGGCTGGGATGGAGGCCATGCACTGTGATCAGAAGCCTGAAAAATCAGTCATTCAAGTGTGGCATTCTGGCCATAGTGCCCTACACACTATGACAGTGGAGATACTGAAAAATTTTATCCAGACCAAAAAAAAACAAAAACCAAAAAACAAAAGACCAAAAACCAAAGGGTCCAGGCAGGTCACACACCTCTAATTTTGTGATGACTTCAGTATCTTTCCGCTGTGATGGGGACAAATCGCTGCCACCATGCTGGGCTTAGCCTCTGCTCCCAGGACCTGTCCCTTTCTACTTTCCCCTAAGGGGTGGGTGGGGAGAGTGTGGGGGATGGGGGGGAGGCGACTCAGTAGCAGCCCCACTCGGATGGCATCTCTGCTACCTCCTTGTGCCCAGTTATCCTCACAGGGGGCCTGACTCACGGGGCTCAGCCCGCTAGGAGCTCCAGCACTTGTGTGGAGGTTCCAACAGAGGAGCGCTTGACCAAGTCATCCTCTACTGGGAAAAGTCACCGTCTTCTTTGACTGAGGGCAAAGCTTTGAGAGGGACACATATGGAGGAAGGGGACACCCACTTTGCCAGTCAGATCACCCAATCAACCCTGATGATCAATGGGATGACAGATGTCTCTGCCAGATCCCTCACCTCCGGAGCTCAGCAAGCCACAGCTGTCCTTAGTTCGGGGGAGGAGCTTTGCCTTTTCTGGGGTTGAAGGGAATTCTGTCCCTCACTGGATTTCCTATTCACACCCACACCCCCAACTATGTCAGAATAAGACAAGTCCTTGTCCATGGGACTGGGAAGCCTAGGGTCCTATACAGGTGGTGGATAAATGTGCACCTAAACAGGATGTGTGCTCTCTCCACTCTGTGGCCTTTTGATGATAGGACCAAATATTCCTTTCCATCTGTTTCCACCTGTCAGATGTCAAGAAGGCCTGGTGTGCTTGGAGGAATGTTTGCTGGATTTCCAAGACTCCCTGACAGGCCTGCTCCCCCATTGGCACACCAGTAAACAGGCTTGGGTAGAAAACACCCCTACTCCTTACAAAGTCCAGTCAGGACTCATCACCCCAGCTGGCTGGCTTCTGTTCCCGGGAGAAAAGGGGTGCTGCCATTTGGGGAGAGTGTGTGTTGAGGGAGACTAGCCTGGCCTGGGGCTTTTGTGTTCTCTCAAGGTTCTGCCCTCAAGGTCCCAGGCTGAGCTAGGGGAGGCAGCTTGGAGAGGCCACCTGGTACTAAAAGCTTCACCAACAATTGACAAAGGAAGTTGTTGGGGCCTGGTGACCTCTTCATCCACCGGGGAAGTCTGCAGTCCCAGGGAAGGTGTGGCTGTGCGTGTGTGTGTGTGTGTGTGTGTGTGTGTGTGTGTGTGTATCCCTTTGCTCCTCTGGGCCAGCAGCTGCGGGTGCTGAAGTGACTGGTATTACACATCCTTGGAGAGAGAGAGAGAGAGAGAGAGAGAGCGCGCGAGCAGAGCCCACAGAGCAGGTCCAGCCTTCAACACCCCCCTCCCAAGCCGCTGGCGCCTGGGAGGTTGCACCTTTGAAACTGTATGCCAGCGGCTGGGCCTCTGCTGCAGCAGAGGGGTGGTGGGGAGGAGGCGGGCGGTGGTCCGTGCTGCGTGGGGGAGGGCGGGAAGGAGTCTGGCCCTGGATGTGTGCTTTTCGATTGATGGATGACTGCCGGGTGTGAGCGAGCGTGCGGGTGTGTGTGAGTGTGTGTATGTGTGTGTGTGTGTGTGTGTGTGTGTGCGCGCGCGCGCACTCGAGGTGCGCGCGCGCGGGGCCTGCCCATTTTCCTCCTCGCAGCAGTCAGTTGGGAGCTGGAGTGAGAGAGAGGGAGACGCCGGCAGCTAGCTCCGGGAGAGGAGTCGTGCGCCCTCCGCTTAGGGCGCCTTTCCTGGGTCCGAGCACTGACGGGTCGCTGGGAGCATCTCGGTGCTACCCGGACTGCTAGGGCGCATCGCACGATCCCTCCCGGCTCTTCGGTGGCTCGGCGGGGATAGCACCTGGGGGCGGCCCCAGACGGGGATGGTCAGCGGCTGCAGCCGTCTGGCACGCGAGCGGGACACTGTGAGGGCACCATGGCGCTGAAGCTCCAGCGCGGGTCCTCTTTGGGGTTGAGCCGACCGGAGCTGTGGTTGCTGCTGTGGGCAGCCGCGTGGCGCCTGGGGGCCACGGCGTGCCCCGCCCTCTGCACCTGCACCGGCACCACCGTGGACTGCCATGGCACTGGGTTACAAGCCATCCCCAAGAACATCCCACGGAACACCGAGCGCTTGTGAGTACAGCTCCACCCGTCCACTGGGACTCCTCCCAGCCCCAGGTTGCTCTCACACCCTGACGCATCCGAGGGCCGGGGATGGGGTGGGAGGCGCAAGACTGTTGGGCTCCGTCGCCAGTAGAGGAGTCGGTGCCTTCGTAGGTCTTTCGGGAGCCAGAAGCTAGGAGCACGGCTGTCTCCAGGTTTCAAAGGGCCCTGGACGGGTTGTCAGTCCCTCCTCACACCTGCCCCTTGCGCTCTGCACCGTGCTAGGCCCTCCCCACTGCACAGCACTTATTCCGCCAGGATACCTGCGAATCCGTACCAGAGAGCCTTCCTGGCACCCAGGAGAAAAGCTTTCCACACATGCCAAGCACAGTGTCTCCTTTTGGACACTTGGGGCTTGGCTGGGTTCCGAATGAGCAGGTGGATTTGGGTTCCGAGGGCTGCCTGCTTGGTGCTATGGAGCAGAAGTTTCTGGGCTCCTAGTCTACCCATTGTTTGTCCCCAAAGCCTTGGTAATTCTTCCCTTAAAGGTGTCAGCAGCCTACCCCCTCCTCCTGTCCCCATCCCCAGCCCAGGCAGACAGACAATGGGACCTGAGGGCCTTTGGTTCGGGGTTTGGGGCATGTGACATTCAGCACCCTGTAAGGGTTAGATGTGTCCTGGACTGGGAGCCCAGGAATGATACGAGAAGCTTGGAGTGGGGACACAAGGTTGAAGATACCTACGGTGAGAAGTCATAAAAACCATCATGCCTCTTCCCTTGTTCTCTTCTACTTCTGGATTCTTGAGGAAACTCCACCCTTTCTAGACCTGCTGAGCACGGTAGAGCTTGTGTTTACAGCTCGGGATGTGTTTTCTACTTTCCTGCCAAAGGCGGTCGGTGTGAAACCACAACATCTGAGGACACCACAGTAGTGTGAGGCCATGGGTCTGTGGGTCTTGCGAGTAGATTTCTAGTCACACACAGGGCCTTTGTACAGCTCTCAGAGGTGACCGCACCAGGAGATTTTTATTGCTGCTTTGGAAAAGGTTGCTGGTTTCTCTGAAGTGGGTTTCTCCTTTTTTCCCACACTCCTGGGTGACTGCAGTGAGCTTCAAAAAAGGAATATATGTTTTGCTAACTTTTGAGCGTATTTTCATGAGTCCCAGTTGGTCAGAGGCAAACTCTGGGGAGAACTGTTGGCTTCATCGAACTCTGAAGTACCAATGCCAGCAATTAGTGAGCACACGCTTGCCCCATACTCTTCTTGGCTGGGTTTGAGACACTCCCATGACAGTTTCAGAGAATTTGCAATTTGCATGCAATGTAGTTGGGAACTGGTGTGTGTGTGTGTGTGTGTGTGTGTGTGTGTGTGTGTGTGTGTGTAGAAATTGAGGGGTGGCACCAAACTGTGTTTCCTAGACGCAGCCTCATGGACCTGAAGAGGAACTAATGACCAAAGTCTGGAGGACCTCTGAGGTCATCAGTCACCTGATTGACCTATTTTTTCTGGACACAATTCCTGTCCCCAGCTTTACATAGTGGTGTGTCTCTCCTGCAGATGTTACCCTGCACGTGAGACGCATGTGCCCTTCTCCTTCGCTTTGGAACCTTGGCTCTCTGTGTTCTTGTTTTCCTACTACCTTGAATGTTTAGGATAGGGTCTGTTTTGACTTTCATGAATTCTTTAGTCTTTGTTTTGTTTTGTTTTGTTTTTTGAGACAGAGTTTCTCTGTGTAGCCTTGGCTGTCCTAGAACTTGTTCTATAGGCCAGGTTGGCCTCGAACTCATAGAGATCCACCTGCTTCTGCCTCCCAAATGCTGGCATTAAAGGGGTGTGCCAGCATTGCCCGGCTCTTTAGACTTTTATAATCAGTGAGATAAAGTGAATCCTGGGGTAGAGCAGAGTTGGGGGCCACTCTGGTTAGAAACCCAGTTCTGTGAATTATCGGCTGTGTGACTTTGGGCAAGTTACCAGACTTCTCTGGGACTTAGTCGCTTTCTATCAGGAAATGGAGTTTGGGCTACATTGGGTTTCTGCTTCTTGGGAGAATGGAAGGTGATGTTTGGAAGAAGCCAGAGTTCTGATACTTGCTAAGGGGCTACCATGGTAGCACAGGAAGAGACGTCTCATGTTTATCAAGCCAGTGCCTACCCTGAATGCTGAGGCCTCAACAGAGTGAGCCTGTCTCTGCCTTCAAAGGGCAGATGGTGTGAAGGACTGGACAGGGGACCTTTAGCTAGAAGATGTAGGGAGAGGCCGGGCTAGCCATGTGATGGGGCTGTGAGAACACTGGGCCCAGAAGCCCTTTTGTGGGGGGTGGTGAAGGGGCTTTTCAGAAGATGAGGTGTGTTAGGGTTGGTGGGTTTTGCCAGCAGACTACAGGCAACACAGGCCGGAGTGACTGCCTGAACACAAAGCCTGCAGCTCTGAGTGGCTTGGCCTGGCGGCTTCAAGCCATTCAGATTTTCCCTGGGGCTGAATCACAGTGTCCAGAGATGAGACGGGGCTGGGGTTGTAAAGAGAGATTGGGAAGGGCCAGGAAAGCCTTTCTCCAGCTTCACATCCATCTCGGGGATGTCTGGATGGGAATCCAGGGTGAGCATCTTAGGGGAGCTAGAAAGGTGTGCTGGTCAGAGACTGGCCAGCAGCTCCTCAGGCTGGGAAATTTCTGTAGGCTGTGTGCTTGTCTGCAGTCCGCTGGGCATCTTCAGTGGTAGCCCAAGGGCCCCGGCAACTTTATGACCATATATTCTATAACTCTGGGTTCAGACATGTTCTCCCAAGTGGGAAGCAATTGCCATGGTTCTCTGTGGAGACTTCTGGGAAGAGGTTGTGGAAGGCTCAGGGCTGCTGGGGAAATTGGTCCAGCCACAGAGGCCGAGGCTGGGTGGACGGATGGGAAGGGATGCTAAATAATTCACTGTAATGGAACAATCACAGTGAGGAGTGAGGACCGGAGACTGGCTGCCAAGACCCTGCAACAGTCACATCTTTGTAGGGCCAGGCTCGGGGGGACTCAGCCACGCTGGCCAAATGTTAACTTTCTCCCTTCCACTCAAGGATCTTGACTTTCAGGAGGATTTTTTCTTAATTTAAACAGTGGTTTGCACTAGAGTATCCAGGAGTATGGCGAGCAGGATTAGTTTGTGTGGACACTGCTCTGCCTCACTGCCCTGGCACCTGTATTTTGGGCTTGCCACTGAGTCTCTTGTGGGTGCGGAGAGGGAAAGATGTCTGCTGAGGTCATCCAAGGATGTGGGGGCAGGGCTCCTGGAAGGTCAGGATGCTGATTGCCATCTGCCCCCAGGTCTGCCATATTCTGTCACTTGTCAGGCTGTGAGGCTTGCCGGTCTTGTCTGTGTCCCTGTGCCCTTTTGCTGGTCCATCTGTCCTGCCCAAGGTTCATGGCTAGCCTGGGCTCCTCCCCCTTAAGCTGCTGGATGGTCACATTCAGGGTTTGAGGAGTTCATTTAGAATCCATATGATGTTGGGATTGAGGCCAGGGGCTGAAACCATGTCTGTCATCAAGGCCTGGCTGGGTGAGCCACTGTGGGGTCCTAGAGCAGAGAAGTGCTTTGAATAGGGGAGTTGGCCGCGGTGGGGGTGAGTCTCCTGCTCTGACAGGCACTGGTATGGTAACCAGGGTGCTAAGCTCACTGCTGGACTCTGAGCAACTGGTGCAGAGACCCAGTAGTGGTCCTTCACCTGCCTGAGACCCTTTATATGTTGTCCATGTATAAAGGGGATGACAGCTTTGCAGGAAATACGCTGGGGTCCGGTGGCATGTGGCTGGTGTCCTACCTACCTTCCCTTTGCCTGTGGGAATAATACCTGCTACTCCATAAGACCTTCCCAAGGATTCACTCATGATGTGTTTACAAAATGCTTCATGATTCAAACATTGGGTGCTAATACTGTGAGAGGCCCACGCTAAAGGCTAGAACATTCAGGTGGGCTCGTGAGGCACTTTCTGAGGCTTGGCCATCCTTCAGGCTGCTCTCCTGGGCTCCTGCCACTCAGAGCATGTGCTACTTGGGCGTCTTTTCTTTTGCCCCCCCCCTGCAGTTTGGATACAGGGAGAAGGGACTCCGCAGGGTGGAGGTCTTGATGGCGTGACTCTGGTCTCGCCTGTCTGGCATTTTTTGTGAGCCTTGCTCTGCCTCTTGGCAGCTGGGGTATCCTGTGGGGTTGCATTCCCTCATTCAACAGATAGCTGCTGTCTACTGAGCTCTCTGCGTTCTGCCGAGTGGAAGGAGAAACTGCCTGTCCCCAAGTTCCTGTCCAGCAGGGGATCGAGAAGAATGGCTGATAGGAGAATAAAGACCTAATTGCAAATTGAGATAAGTGCTCAGGAGGAGCACACTCCTTCAAATCCCCGGTTTCTTGCCCATAAAGTGGGGGTAATGATAGGACCTGCTTCAAAGGCTGGGCCGAGGACTGAACTCGATAATAGGCATCCAGTGCTGTGTGCCTCACAGAGCCTGGCAGAAAGCAAGTGCCCAGTAAATGGCACGATTATCATTGCTATTAATGTGACAGAGAGCTCCAGGGACATAAAAGGATTCTGAGACCACTCAGTGCTGGATCCCGGCAATACTTACCCTCTCTCTCACCAGTGGCTGGGAGTCCTGGATCACACCAGAATATGAGTATGCCTTCCTTCCTCGGTACTCCTTCTTAATGCTGTGCCAGGAGCTGGTCCATGCTGCCGGAGGCTGCAAGGCAGGGGCGTCCATGCTCTCTCGGGGCCTGTGTGGGGCGGTGGGGACAGGCAGCCCCCACGTTATCGGGAGCAGACGGGCAGGCGTTTGGCGGAGTTGCCGCCTCCAGTTCTGTGCCGGCATTAGCAGCTCGGCAGGGCTCTTGCTTAATGGGATTTTCTTCCCAAATGCTGTAATTATCGCCATACAAATACTTATTACCCAGAGCAGATGACGGCCGGGCCTTGGGCAGTAGCCAGGGAGCTGGGCTGTGCTGGGGGTGGAGAATTGGCTCCTGTTTTTGATGGAGCTTGCCACCCCCTCCTCT